CGCGGGCGAAGCGGGGTCGCGGGCAACTAGCGAGCTAGCCGCGAAATACCGCGTAGCAGAGGTCTTGGAAAATTTGAGAAAAGACTGGGCCCTCGAGTACTTGTCAGGAGAGGAAGAGGCTGTATTAACTGCAGCAGCTAAAGAGAAAAGTGAGGAGGAGAGTCAAGAGAGAAGAAAAGAGAGGAATGAGGAATAAAGAATGGATATAGAAGAGTGTAAGAAAAGAAGCAGAGAGAGAGAGATGGAAGATGACTCACGGGAAGAGGAAGAGGGGACGGAGAGGAAGAGGATAAAGGAGGTGAAGGAACATGAAGTTGGCGCGAGGTTGGGAACGACAGCCAATGAGGAGACGGAACGGGAAGCCCAACGAGAAAACGAGGAGAATAGGTTGGCAGGAGTGACAGGGTTGGCAACATCGCCTAGATTAATTAGATTTACAATAAACAGCGCTGCTTTTACTAAATACTGCTGAGTCGAGGTCTCTTACGAATTCTCCCGGAGATGCCAGCGCCGGAAGAGAAGAAGCGGTGGCGTGGTAAAATAGCGAAAGACGCAACAAGTGTCGGCCATTTCAGTTTAGAGATTGGTGCGAGAAGGTCGAGGAGTGTAAGTAGTGAGCGTATAGAGAAAGACAAAGAGGACAACAAGGTGTTGCAGGAGAAAATAGGTATTAAAGACATTGCTTGTAATAATAAGTAGATAAGAAGGATAGTGATAGGGAGAACACAAAAAATAATGAAAAAGACAGAATTAAGACTGACTTAGTGTTAAGAAACGCGTGTGGGGAAAATGGCGTGGGTGACGAACACGTGGTTAACGAAAGAGTGAATGATAAGTCTCCAACAAGGAGAGGTAGAGAATGGGGAATACAGTTATACGATGATGATGTAAATAGGGATGAGTATGTGGTGTGCTTGATTTTAAAAAATAGGCATGTAGGCAATAATAATAATAATAGAAGGGATAGAGCAATAAAAGCGTCGAAGAGAAATAATTTAATTAATCTATACAGGGTAGCTCAGGGCGCTGGCGTTAAGATAAAAAGTATTAAAATGGTCGGTTTTAACAGGGCAGAAATCGTGACAAGGAAGAGAGAAGAGGCGAACGCTTTATTAAGAAAGTATAGCAGCCCGGAAGGAAGAGTGAGAGCATTCTTACCAAGAAGAATGGCCTACAGAAAGGGAATTATATTCTATGAATGCGAGGACTCGGTGGACGAACTAAGAGAAGAGGTGATGCCGGGACAGGGCCAATACGTGCTCGAAAGGATGACGAAAAGAAGAATCATAGACGGAAAGGTTGTGTTTAGTCCTTTAAGAACAATTTTGATTACTTTCAAGGGGGGCGTATTACCCACGCGCCTACTGATAGGACAAGGCCACGTGGGAATTAGAATAGAGCCATATGTGGAGCCGGTTAAACAATGCTTCCGTTGCTTGAGATTCGGACACTACCAGGCCCAGTGTAGGGAAGAACATAAAAGATGTGCGATGTGTGGTGATAAGCAGCACGGTGAATGTGACAGGAAGCCTAAGTGCCTTAATTGCGGAGGTGAACATAGATCTCTCGCCAGACAGTGCTGAGTATGGCAAAGGGAGGCTGCCATTAAAAAGGTAATGGCTTATAAAAACGTCGAATTCGATACTGCTAGGGGGATGGTAGCGCGTGCCACGGGAGACGTGGAACCGGATTGAGTTGGGGGAGTCGAGGAGTTTATGGGGAGTAGTGGGGACTTCCCAATACTACCAATGAAGGAAAGAGTGGAAATATGGGAGAAGAAAGAGGTTCCGATACAGAGAGAACTGGACAATATTAAAAGAACAAGACCTGGAAGAAATAATAGAAGGGTCGCAGGTGAGGCACAAACAGAGAACGGAAGAAGGGCATTTAGCGAGGTGGTAAAGGGAGGAGCGGAAGAGAAAGGGACGGAGGAGGAAGAAGAGGACTGGGGACAAGGAGCTTGCGGAGGCAGAGAGGAGAATGCGAGCGGAAAGGAGGGTACGAATGGAAAGGAAGAGGAGGAAGGGTGGAGAAAAGTTAAGAGAGGTATAAAGCTTGCATGCCTTAATGAAAAGACTGATTTAGTAGTAATGGACAACAGATATCTGTGTCTTGACTGCAAAAAAAAGACTGAGGAAAAGAAGAAAGAGGGCAAGATATAGATATTAAAAAGGATACCTCTACCACATTTAATGGTGGGAGAAGAACCGGAGGGAGACTGTGAATACGAAAGATTAGAATGGGCTCTCAATAAGGACGAAATGGAGAAGGAGAGGAGGAGAATAAGAAGAGAAAAGCAGATGAATAGAGAATGGCTCGTCGAACTCGAAAAGAGAAAAGAAGACGAGATATTGGAAGAAGTCATAAAAATGCTAAAGGAGAAAAACCTCGAAGGGAAGTTCCACGAGATAGTGAGAACGCGGAAATACAGAGAGAGAAGAACGGTGCACCCCGACCCGAAAGAAGACTGGAATGAGGTGACAACGCCCCCCTTTGAAATAGAAATAGACCAGAGGACCAGAGACAGATTAAGAAGAAGGGCAGAAAAAGAAAGGGAGGAACTGAGGAAAAGGAAGGAGGAGGAAATGATCGAGGAAGTTATGCTGAGAGAGTGTTGGAAGAGAACAAGGGATGTTAGAGGAAGGGCAGCAGCAGAAGGAAATAAAGATGGAGGAGACAACGAGAAAGGAAAGGAAAGGAAGGAGAGTGGAGAGTCTGCGGAGGAGGAACTAAAGTCAAAGGAGAAAGAAGAAGGGGAGAGGAAGAGTACAGGAACAGAAGAAGAGCAGGAAAGAAAATGAATAAGAAGGAAAAGAATGAGGGGAGTGATATAGAAGAGGTTAAAGTGAGCAAAGTGGAAGTAAGAAATAAGTTAGAAATAGTGAAAAGTTTAGAGTGGAGAGTCAGAAGTTTGACTAAGACTAAAATAAAGAATGAAACCAAAGACTATAAAGAGTTAGAGATAAGGAGTGCTAGCGGAAAAAAGACTATGTTAAAGACTGTAGTTTGCGCAATTAGTTTTAAGGTTAGGTATAAGATTTATAGCACTTCCAACTACTTTACTACTTTAAACATTTATTTAATGGGACAATTTTTAAAATATTTTATTCAATCTTTTAAACACGTCTTTTACAATTCAAGGATGGCAAAGGACTGGTAACAAATCAATTGAACATTAACGGCATTCGTACGTTTCCAACGATCATTCGTCTCCACTTGCAACACCTTCATTCACTCCATTCACACTTCAGAGAATTATAATAAACATATAACGGGTCTTACAAATAATATTAAACCAATAAATGCCTACAGTTCGGCCATTCTGACAATATTAGCCGTCCCGGCTAATCGAAACGCAACTAAATTCCTTTTAACATAAATTAATTAATTAAATTTTCATTAATATCTTTAACATACTATAAACTTTTAACTTCACCATTCAATCATAATACTTAACAAACGAATACAAAAATACAAGAATTAACACACTAAACACAAAACAATTAAATAATTAAATCGTTTTATAAGGCCGCATGTTGTCAGAAGACAAAATACCATGGTACGGTATTTGGGTTATTTGAAATCCTTCAACATCACCAATCACATATCGGTCACAATCAAGCACTTTTTCAACTACATACGGTCCTTTGAATTTAGGTATTAACTTTTTGTTCGCGCCCGCTGAAGTATCAATATTTTTAATCATAACATAATTTCCAACATTATATACTAATGCATCCTTACATTTACTATTATAATATTTTTCATTAACCATTTGTATTTTATTAATATTCTTTGCCGCTTTTTCACGTATTCCTTCTAAATCCCTATTTTCACACACATTCGATTCCAACCACAAACGTAAGGAATCATTTCGATCTCCTAATTGATCAACACCAAATAATAAACGACTCGAAGTATCATTCGTCGCTTGACAAACTGTGTTATTTAAAGTAAATTCCACTTGTTCCAAAACTCCATCCCATTTATTAGGCGTTTCACACAATTTTGCAATCATTGGAGTAATAACTTTATTAAATCGTTCTACTTGACCATTTGCTCGAGGAGTGCCTACCGCAATAAGTACATGTTCAATAGATTTTGTTTTCATAAATTCTTTAAAATCCCGAGAAGTAAATGCAGTTCCACGATCCGTTATTACAGGTTTAGGTTTACTATACGCACGAAAATATTCTTTTAGAAATTTAATTATTTCTTGGGCGCCTGTAGACTTACACGGAAATAACTTAATAAATTTCGTAAATCCGTCAATTACAACTAACAAATGTTTATACCCTTTCCCTGTTTTTTCTAATGGTCCCAAATGGTCAATATGTATTGTGTCAAACGGTACGTTCCCTTTAGCAATACTATGCAAAACTCCCACTCTTTTCCCATTCGGAGGTGAAAATTCTATGCATCGAAGGCAATTGGTAATGTATTCCTTAACTTTATCTCGTAAATTCGGAAACCAGTATAACTTGCTAATATTACTAAAATAATTATCCTGCCCCACATGACCTAAATCATCATGGCATGAACGGATTACTTTATCTTCCATCAAACGCGGCACATAAAATAATAATTTTTTCATTTTATTCTTCCTATAAACCAATCCATCGCGTAATTCAAAATGCTTCATTTCCGACTTTTCCAATAATTCACGTATTTTCCCAATTTCAGGATCTTTATCCTGGCATAACGATAAAGTTTGCTCAAAAGAATTACCTTGAATTACTAAAATACTACTACAACGACTTAAGGCGTCAACGTGACTCATTTTGTTACCCGGTCTATGTTGTATTTCATAATCAAACTCTTGAAGGTACAAAGCCCAACGTGAAATCCTAGGGTTAATAGTTTGTTTACTTAACGTTAAACGAAAACTATCACAATCGGTAATAATTTTAAAATGAATTCCACTGAGATAAATTCTAAAACGCTTAATCGCATTCACAACTGCCAAACATTCCAACTCGAAACTATGATATTTTGCTTCTGTCGGAGTCGTACGTTGATTAAAATATGCAATTGGTTTTAAACATTTATCTGTTTGTTTTTGTAATAATATTGCACCAAATCCTAACGTACTCGCATCACAATGCAATTCGGTTTCAGCTGTGGGAGAATAAATTGACAGAATCGCCAATTGTTTATTCGCCAATTGCTTTTTCAACATTTCAAAAGTACTGTGTTCTTTTTCTCCAAAAACAAATTTAGCTTCCTTTTTAACTAAATCGTACAATGGTTTTGCAATAATAGAAAACCCAAGTATAAATCGTCGAAAATAACTAGCCAAAGATACAAAACGTAAAACGTCTTTTGAATTACGTGGAATCGGATAATTAAGAACAGCCTCAATATTACTATCACTTGGCCTAATACCTTCAAAACTAACGTGATAACCTAAATAATCAACTTCAAATTGCGCAAAAGCACATTTATTCAATTTAAATGGTAATCGAGATTTTGCTGCCGTTCGAAAAACTTCCCGCAAAATTTCTAAATGTTCCTCCAGAGTTTCCGTTGCAATCATAAAATCATCAAAATAAACCATGTAACGCTCGATGTGAGGTTTTATTCAGGTATGGTTTACAGGGGGGAAAAAAAAAAAATTGATTACGTTGTATGGTTCGAATCAGCGAAAATCGGTTAAGGTAAATAAACTATTGGCTTTATGGTTGCGTTGAAGGAGCTTTGAAAAGTTCAGTCAAGGAGAGAGAATAACTCTCTGCTGGGCTTCCAAGCAGAGGTTTTTGAGGAAGACTGGTAGAATATCCGAGTCTGTTGGTTTTGGGAGAATGACTATTTTCCGACTCTGGTACCTCCAAGAGTGGTGTTGTCAGGGTGTAGGTTGGGAATATTCTGACTTTCTAGGTTTTTAGGAAGCCCTTTTATATCATTTTCTTCGCCTTCGGCCGTCCAATCAGCGTACCGAAGTGCGTTCGGTAGGTTTTATGGCACTTACAAGTACGTCGGGCTCGCGGTGCGCTGGTCATTTTCCATGTAACGCTGTTTCTTAAACTAAGCCTTATCTTCTAAAAAATTATTTCGCTACAGACTCCCCCTCTGGGCTGTTTCTTAAACTAAGCCTTATCTTCTAAAAAATTATTTCGCTACAACCAGTGTCGATCGTCCCGATAAGGAGTCCAGGATATTTTAATTTTTAGCGGGTCTTCCGTGGCCGTCCACGCTTCCTAATGGGGGCAACGGGTTGCGTTGCTTCTTCTCCAGGTCGTCCCGTGTATGGGGTGATAGCTGATGCATGGTAGGTTCCTAAGGGGGTGCTGGGGTCCTCCTGGGTAGCTACCTCGTAGGTGGTTAATCCAACTCGCTGCAGAATCACATAAGGTCCCTCGCGACGTGGAGCTAGTTTTGATGCTATGCCCTGGGTTGCTCGACTTTGTACATGGGTGGTTACCCATACTAGATCGCCGGGTTGATACAGTGGTGCCTCTCTGCGATGTTGATCCGCCTTCTGTTTGTGGGCTTGCTGCTGGGCCTCGTGGGTTTCCCGGGCTTGCTGCAAGGTGTCCGCCAATTGCAGAAGTCGCGGGGTGATCTCCGATAGAAAACTTTCTCCTTCGGTGATCGTTCTCAGCTCGTGAGTAACATCATCGATGGTCCGCAACTCACGTCCAAAAGTCAGGTATGCTGCGGTGTATCCTGTGCTGCTGCATCGGGGTTCCACCGGGTTTGCCGCTGGGTGATAAGCCGGTGTGAAACGGGATTCCACTCCAAGGCAATGGAGCGTTTGCTGCATCACTCCACTGATAAACTGGGTACCATTGTTCGAGATCATTCGTCTGGGTGTTCCGTAGCGTAGGAAGATTTCGTCTATGATTGTTTTTGCACACTCTTGTGCTGTTGCTTGGGGAAGTGCGAACAACTCTGTCCAGCGGCTGGCAACATCCTCAATGATGAGAATCCAACGATTTCCTTGATGAGATATCGGAAGAGGCCCAAACAGGTCAACCGCTATCACCTCAAAACGCCGCTTCATGGCTGGAGTCTGTAACAATCCTGCGGGTTTTAAATTCGTGACTTTATACCTTTGACACTGTTGACATCCTTTCACATATTCAGCGATTTCCTTGCGCATCCCAGGCCAATAGTACCGCTGAGATATTCGATGCAAGGTGCGTTCAACTCCATAATGTCCTGCCGTGTCCTTGTCATGGTATTCCTTCAAGACTTGATGTCGTTCGTGTTCAGGAACCACCAATTGCGCTTCTTCATTATCAGCTTCCGGCGCATACCGATACAGTACACCATTTGCCAAGATATAACCCTGATTGGCCCATCTCAGAAATCTCTCATTCTCCACTGTATCTTCGAAACATTCGATGATCTCCTTCAATGAGTGGTCCTGCATTTGATTCTCGCGAAGCTCCTGACTTCCACGAGTAGGAAGATCTACGGTGACGAGCGCGATGTCGTTGGTTAATGTCTCGTCGATCGCTTGAGTCGGCCGGGATAAGAAATCGGCCACGACATTTGCTCGTCCTGGAGTGTACTCAATCCGGAAGTTGTATGTCTGCAACAGCAATGCCCAACGAGCGAGGCGTCCGCTCGGTGTCTTCAAACTCATCAGCCAACGCAGAGGTTGGTGATCTGTTATAATTGTAACTTCAGACCCTTCAATATATCCCCGAAACTTTTGTACAGCCCAAACGACAGCTAGGGCTTCTCTTTCCGTGGTGGAATAGTTCTTCTCTGCTGGCGTTAATAGTCTACTAGCATATTCCACGGGTCGCTCGTTCTCCTTCTCCCCCTGCAGTAGAACTGCTCCTAACGCGTA